TTTTTTCTTCCCTTCCTTTCCCTTGCCCCATCCTTTCCTTCTCTTTTCTTTACTAATTTTTATCCATAGGCTTATGCCAAAAGAAAAAGCGAAAAAGAAAAAGCAGGTTCCTATATATATAAATATAAAATCTCAAATCATTTGTTTGCTCTTCGTTCCTTCTGTACAAGGACACGGTTTCGTCTCTCTCTCTCTCTCACAGTCAAGCTTCTGGAAATGGCGGAATCGGTGGAGTTGCCGAGTCGCTTAGCAATCCTTCCGTTCAGGAACAAGGTGCTTCTACCTGGTGCCTTCATTAGAATCCGCTGCACCTCACAGAGCAGGTTCTTTCTCTCCTCTTTCTCTTCATCTGCGGTCTGTGAAATCATCGACGACGTTTCTTGTTTTCTCCGGATTTCGAATTAGGATTTGAGTTTTATGAATGTTTGATTCGCTACTTTGCGATGATTGGATTCCTGTTTCTTTGTTTCTTTTCTCATCCGTTGCCAAATCGAAACGCATGTTTGGTTCCTGCTTGCCTTTGCTTTTGTGGAGGGGCGGAAGAGCTCCTTAATTTATAATTAGAATTGTTTTAACGGATTGTTTTATTGGTGAAGTTAAGCAAGCATGAAGCTTATGCTCACGATTCTTTGCTGTTTATTTGTTTTTGCTGCTAATTGGAGTGTTCCATTCGCTTGGACCTTGTTTAATATTTTATTGTTAGAAAGTGGTTTTGTACAATTAGGTAGGCGGACTTTGTATGCCAATCTATGGAATTGGGAGATAAACTGATATGAACTATGCAGTGTGAAATTGGTGGAGCAAGAGTTATGGCAGCGGGAAGAGAAGGGACTGATTGGGATTCTTCCTGTTCGAGATGCCGCTGAAATGGCGTCAGTTGGCTCTGTGTTGACTCAAGGTCTTTCCTCTCTCCTCTTTTTTTTTTTTTTTTTTTTTTTTTTTCTTCCTGCCTGTAGCTGGTCTGGAAGGAGTATATTTTTCTAAGAAAAGTTTTAAAATTTTTTCCTCGTGTAGGAAGTGATCCTGGAGAAAGAAGCTCAAAAATTCAGGGTGGTACATCAGATGCTCACAAGCTTGAGGGGAAAAACCAGCAGGAAGTTTTTCATTGGCACAAGAGGTAATACTTTGATTAACCATATATATATATATATTTTTTTTCAAGTCTGTCTGACATATTTAGGAAAGTCAAAAGTGCATATCCATTTTCCCACTTAACCTTTTTTCTTATGGCTTTCTCTTATTCAATTTCTTCTTCTTATTCCAAATGCAATTTCATCGCAGTTTTTGCAAACAGATAGTTGTGTGCTTATGATGCTGTCAAACGTTTGATTTCCATTTATCAGGGGTGTGGCAGCTCGTGCATTACATCTGTCACGGGGAGTGGAGAAACCAAGTGGGAGGGTAACATACACTGTTGTCCTGGAAGGTTTATGCAGATTCAGTGTTGAGGAGCTTAACACACGAGGAATCTATTGCACTGCAAAGATATCTCCTCTCGAGATGACAAAAGCTGGTAGGTTGGTTATCGTTTATTTATTAAGTTTTTTGTACCAACATACAAGTGTTTATCTAGCATGATAATACTGTTTGTTTAATGATTTAGAATCAATAGAAATTGCACCATGGGCTTAATATTTTAAAACCAAGAAAAGATGTTAGCTTATCTATAATATTGTGCAAGAATGTTCTGTTTGAGAATATTCTTTTTAAAATACCATAAAGTGGTTTAGTTTACCATGCTATTAATTCTGATAGGCTTCATGTCCTAGCTATAAACTAAGTTGCCCTTTATTCTGAAAAATAGAAAAAACTGAGTTACTCACTTACTCCCATTTGTCTAACCATGATTAGAGATGGAGCAAGTGGAGCAAGATCCAGATTTTATAACATTGTCTCGCCAGTTCAAATCAACTGCCATGGAGCTCATTTCTGTTTTTGAGCAAGTAAGACGTCATTACAATCTGATCTCTGAACCTTTGAACCTTTGAGCTTACTTTCAAGGGTTTAACATGCTAATGGATATTGGGAAGCAGTTTCAGTAAGCTAGATTTAAATTTCGATATGGGCACTACAATTTTTTTTGGATTAACTGGAACAGATGTCATAGTGTTATGGCAGATTCTTCATTCTCTGGTTACTTGGAAAGTGCTTTGGTTGTGTTATCATTATATGAGTAACTTTTCTTTCCATGTTTCCTGTAGAAACATAAAACCAGTGGGAGGATAAGAGTTCTACTGGAAACGGTTCCTCTTCACAAATTGGCTGATATATTTGTTGCTAGCTTTGAGATGAGTTTTGAAGAGCAACTGTGTATGTTGGATTCTGTTGATCTGAAAGTAAGACTTTCAAAAGCAACTGAGTTAGTTGACAGGCATTTACAGGTAGGCTGTTTGTTCATTTAAGATTATAACTATTCCTTGATGCTTCATGAGGACCATCCTCTGTAGTTTACACTTTCATGTTACTTCTGACAGTCAATACGCGTAGCTGAGAAGATCACACAAAAGGTTGAGGGACAACTGTCAAAATCACAGAAAGAGTTTCTTTTGCGACAGCAGGTTAGCTTTCTCTGCTAAATGATGGTTTTATGAAGGAAATGGGTGAAAAGAAAGAGGATGTTAATTCATAGGAGATGATGTTGATCTGCAACAATTGCAGATTTAGTTTTGCACTCATTACTGTTTCATTAAACATCCATGTGTTCATATATGAATATATTACCGAAGATGGCGATAATTCCTTTATTTCCTAGATGAGGGCTATAAAAGAAGAGCTTGGAGACAATGACGATGATGAAGATGATCTGGCTGCTTTGGAAAGAAAGATGCAGGGTGCAGGGATGCCTTCAAATATCTGGAAGCATGCACAACGAGAGTTGAGGTATGATTTTCTTGGAGATGGTAGAAATAACAATCTTATGGTGGTGGCCGAAATATCTTTTCCAATGAAAAATAAAGTAGTTGTATCTTAGCTATCTTATATATTCTGCAGACATTAATTTAATAATGATGATATAAGCACGCTTATCTCATGTTTACCTTATTTCTTAAGGTATTGTTTACTTTGTTTTTGTATTCCTGTTGCTCTGTAAAGGTATCTGATATTTATATTTTTTTGTTTGCAATTTCAGGAGGCTAAAGAAAATGCAGCCCCAGCAACCTGGATATAATAGTTCACGGGTTTACTTGGAGCTTCTTGCTGATCTACCATGGCAGAAGGCTAGTGAAGAACAGGAATTGGACCTAAAAGCTGCAAAAGACCGTCTTGATAGTGATCATTATGGTCTGGTCAAGGTCAAACAACGAATTGTAGAGTACCTAGCTGTTCGCAAGGTTGACCAATTATCTATCTGTTTTTTCTTAAGGTTCTTAATATTCTAAATGTTTCAAGTTGATGTTCTTATTGATTCTGTCATTTGCATTCAGCTTAAGCCTGATGCAAGAGGTCCAGTTCTGTGCTTTGTTGGCCCACCAGGTGTTGGGAAAACTTCATTGGCATCATCTATTGCTGCTGCTCTGGGGAGAAAATTTGTGCGCATCTCCCTTGGTGGTGTTAAGGATGAGGCTGACATAAGAGGTCATAGGAGGACATACATTGGAAGCATGCCAGGACGTCTTATTGATGGGTTAAAGGTGACTATTCTTTCTAGGTTGGAATGCTAGTATAGACTTATCTTTGCTGCACTATTTGCTTGCTACAAGTTTTGTTGAGCTAAGCACAGAGGACTGGGTAACAATTACATCACACACTTCTCTTACTTAACTGGATTTTTAGGCGAGCATAATGAAAATCATTCTAAGTGATATTTGGAAGAGAGATAAAACTTCTTTTAGTTAGTATTATCTTGTGCACTCTCAGTAATTCTATGTTAATGCTATATCCTAACCAGGTTTGTTTTCAGTAGGTTTACTTCAAAAGTGCAGTCTAGAATGTGGAGGCCTAGAACTTTTTTGAATAAAACTGTGGAAGGCCCAATACTTTCATTATTGTTTACAAAAGGACTTGGGTCTTCTTTCTCCTAGCATGATATCTTTGTCTGTCGGGTCATTACAATTCAATATCGCCACCAATTTGTGAATTTTTTAGTCAATTTTGACGATCATAAATTGTAATTTGACTCAATAATTTCTGTTCAGCTTTGGTTTCTTAGAGTTGTAATTTTTTTTTTTCTTTCATTGATCCATGTTTTATCCTTGCCTATTTTGTGTGCTTCCTTCATTGGCGCTTAGCTTGCTAGATATATTACACACACACACGCACACACACAAACACACATATTTCTTTTGACTTTTAAATGTTTGGGGTTTAGATAATTAAATATTTGGTACTAAATTAACATTGTTTGCTTAATGATTTCATTTTATCATGTATTGGTGGTCTCTAATTCTGGCATCGCTCTAATGGTCTTTATATGCTTTCTTGTGTAGAGAGTAGGTGTTTGCAATCCAGTGATGCTTCTGGATGAGATTGACAAAACAGGTTCAGATATCCGTGGTGATCCAGCATCAGCATTGTTGGAGGTTCTTGACCCTGAACAGAACAAAACTTTCAATGATCAGTATCCTACTTTGTTCTGAATTTTTTGGAGAATCTTAAATTTGATAATTTCTTCTTTTATTAACTTCTTGAAAATCTGTAATCTTGTTGTAGCAACCTCAATTTTTTATGTCTCTCATATTTTTTGAATTTTTGGTTCCCTGGTAAAATATTACTTTTTTCCAAGTTTTTTCACTGATTGTTGTCACGTGCATGGAAATTTTATACTTGTTAGCACTTTTCACTATTGAAGCTCTAACATGATTGCTTGGTTCAGTATTTTCTGGCTGTCAATTTTGAATGTTAGAAGAAATCTTTCACAAGGTCATCTTTCCTTAGAATCACTGTCTTTGCCTCATGGAAGTGTTCCCAATGCACAGAGGGATTCTGTTACAATTTGTTCCATTAGCATTCCTATTATTGTATTCTAAATAATATTTGCATTTAGCGGCACTGGTTTAGATATCAAATTCTTATTTGAATTAATCACCAGCAACTTTTGATCTAGAGTGTTTCCTTTACTTAAGGATTTATAGCTATTTAAATGTTCCATTTGACCTTTCAAAGGTGGTTTTTGTGGCAACTGCAAATCGGGCACAGCCAATTCCTCCTCCACTCTTAGACAGGATGGAAGTCATTGAGCTCCCTGGATATACACCTGATGAAAAGCTTAGAATTGCCATGCAACATTTGATTCCACGGGTTTTAGATCAGCATGGGTTGACTCCTGAGTTCCTTCAAATTCCAGAGGTAGTTCCATGAGAATTATATATGTGTATGTTCAAAATATTAGTTGTTGTATGGTGTGAGAAATCTTGGATATTTAAGATATTGGCACGCTTCTTCTGCTTACCATTGTTCTGAAACCTGTTGGTTAATCCTTCAATGGCAATTACAGCCCTAAACTCTGAATGTTTTCGTTTTCGTTGGCCATCAGTATGGCAGCTCTCATATGGATTTAATTTGAAGTTCTCAATTGAGCTTTTATTCTGAGTTAAAATTGTTCTATATAATACTGCATTACATATATATTTCCAAATTCCAATTTACAATCAAAACTCATCTTACAGACAATTCCATTTTCTGAATGTCTTTCCATTGTGCGGTAGGACATGGTGAAACTTATTATTCAGGGGTACACTAGGGAAGCTGGTGTCCGTAATCTTGAGAGGAACTTTGCTGCCTTGGCTCGTGCTGCGGCAGTAAGAGTCGCAGAGCAAGAACAAACTGTCCCACTGAACAAAGGTATTGACAAGTTGACTTCACCTCTGCTGGAAAACAGACTTGCTGAGGGAGCTGAAATGGAAATGGAAGTTATTCCAATGGGTGTAAATAATCATGAGATATCAAACACGTTCAGGATTGCCTCACCCTTGGTTGTAGATGAGGCTTTGCTGGAGAAGATATTGGGGGTAATGATTCCTTTTACTGATATGTGGAACTTTATTTTTTAAAATCAAGCTGATTTACTTTCAAGGGCACCTTAATGAGGTGGAGAACTGCTCATATGTGCTTTCCAAAATAGACTTGTTTGGTCTATTTGAACTCTTCCCTAAATAACAGCCACTTCTTTTTGAAATCTGTTCTCCTTGATTTGTGGCTGTAGGCATAAACCTTTTGCTCTAATGTGGTTAGCTTTATAAAAACAGAAGATTGAGTTTATTGTTTCTTAACAGAGTTCATGATGTTGAATTGTGATACAGCCTCCAAGATTTGATGATCGAGAAGCTGCAGAACGAGTTGCAACTCCTGGGGTATCCGTGGGGCTTGTGTGGACCACATTTGGAGGAGAGGTCCAATTTGTGGAGGCTACAGCAATGGTTGGAAAGGGTGAATTACACCTCACTGGACAACTGGGTGATGTTATTAAAGAATCAGCACAAATTGCACTAACATGGGTACTATTCCCTTTTTATTTACTGTTTTTCTCTGATGTGAATTTATTGTTTTTAATTAAATATTCAAGTTTATAAACCTAAGAAGTGGGAAATTTTTCTACAACCCAGTTTCCATGTTCTTTATTGTGAAACAAATATTACTGTGAAGAATGAAGGCTTTTATCTAATTCAATCAAAGTAAATGTAATTCAAAGTGCTTTCATTTGTATTGGTTCGCAACAATTTAGCATAGATGTTATCACACTACACATGGAAATAATGAGTTAGTAGAACTGAGTGTAAGAGTTAAAGAATTTCTTTATATATCTACAGGTCAGAGCAAGGACAGCAGATTTTAAGTTGGCAGCTGCTGAGGACCTCAATCTACTGGAGGGCCGTGACATTCATATACATTTTCCTGCTGGGGCTGTACCAAAGGATGGGCCTTCAGCAGGTGTGACTCTTGTAACAGCTTTGGTTTCACTGTTCAGTCAGAAAAGTGCAAGAGCAGACACAGCAATGACTGGAGAGATGACTTTGAGGGGTCTTGTTCTCCCTGTTGGTGGTGTCAAGGATAAGGTAGCTTACTCCCTTTATACACTAGTTTTCTTGTTTTCATTTGGGTTACGACTTAAGAGAATAATTTCTCCATCATTAGTAGGGGTATTTGAATTGAATGTTATGCTATCGTATCATAGATAAAGAACATTGAACTGGGGTTCTTAAGAGGTTGCATCAGATATGCTACCAAGTGAATTACCCATAATGTTCTTACCATGTCTGATCTTTGCAATCCCTGGCACAGCATTAGCTTGTGTGGTGGCGTAGGTAATAATGTGGTCAAATTTGTTATAGAAAAAACTTTTGATACTATTACTTGAATCTTGAATTTGCAGATATTGGCAGCACACCGCTATGGTATCAAGAGAGTTATTTTGCCACAGAGAAACTTGAAGGACTTGGTTGAAGTACCAGCAGCTGTGCTCTCCAGTCTGGAGGTAATTTCTTTCACTAAAAATTTGAAGCAACAAATTACTTAGGTATGGAGCTAGTGCATGTGATTAAGTGATATCTGCTTCATCGGGGATTCTGTCTTTGGTCAGTGTAACGGACCAAGTGATCAACATTTGAATCTAGACATGCATGACTTTTAACAGCATCATCCTAGTATAAAACTAAATTCAGTAAAGGTTTCTCTGAGATTTTTTGCACTTCATAAATCCGGTTGTATGTGAATATGAACCATCTCATTTCTGAGTCTAGATGCATGCTTCAGCAAGTTAATCTGGTTTTGGATTTGGTTGTGTGATGGAGAACCTGAACTTCTTCCTTTCTCTTGCATACTCCTTTTACCAGATTATACCAGTGAAGCGTGTGGAAGATGTGCTGGAGCAGGCTTTTGAAGGAGGTTGCCCATGGAGACGACAGTCAAAATTATGACAGTCGTTCAAAGACAAGTTTATCTAACTAATGTTTGGTGATTAAGTTGATTAACTGGGCACCACGTCTATCGGGGTACACGGTCTTGACATTTTATTAACTGCTTGTGACGATGGGCAATGAAGAAATCGTTATAAACTCAACTGTCAAAGGACCGACAAAGGAGCTTTAGCTGTTTACCGGACAAGCCTCTAGTTCATCCCAATTTCTAATTTATTCTCCCCATTTTTCCTTTTTTGTATGATTGTTTGTATAATTTATAGACTAAATTTGTAATCTACCCTGTATAATTGTTGTTTAATTACATTATTGTTTGTCATTCATTTAATGAGATCCTTACTGAAAATTTTCGTATACTTCTCTGCTCTTGTTTAGATCAAGGAAAAAAAAAGGAAAAAAAAAAAGAAACAATCATCCTTTAAAAGGAATGAAAGATTTTTGCATTTGTGGAAGGAGTTTAGTTGCTCTTAAATAAGATTTCGAATTTGAATATTGTGAATGGAGAAACAGATATTGAAAAAGTTTCTTTTAAATGGGGTTCAATATAGTTTGATTTTAAATTAATTAAAATTTTACGTGGTTATCAAATACCGAGAAGTTAATATGAAAAAAAAAAAGAAGAAAGATTTCAGCTCTCCACGTGATGGGTGGTGTGTTGGGGGATGTGGTTTCACGGTGTGTGAAAGGTGTTTTTTCATAAAGTACTCTGTTAGAAGTGTTATTTTATTATAATTAAATTAACAAAAATTTACTGTATAGTTTGCTTTAAGTTTAAACTATAAAATAAAGAATTTTTTAATTAATTTTTATTAGATATTTTGTATACATAATAATTATATATATTGAGGTATAATAATTTTTTAAAAATAATTATGGAATAATAATATAAATTTTTTATAGTAAAATACTTTAAAAGTTATATCATTTTACAATAATTTCAAACAAGACCGCAGTGATAGCACTCAAAGTTCCATCTCCATTTATTTTATTTTATTTTTGGACGATCTACATGTGCTCAAATCAATTTAAGCATTTTTCAAAACTAATTTCGAAGTGTGCAACCTCACACTAACCTAGTCCATTTAAAGAGATTAAATTAGCCCCAAGACTTATTCTACACCTGACCATTGAATCCAATATTTAGGGTTCCATTTGAGTTTGATTCCTTTGATTGGAGGAGAGATGGTTTCCTCTGAATTTTCTACACCTGACCATTCTGTATCGACAAATGTTCAATGAATTTTCTCTTTATCCAAAACCCAAAAAAAAAAAAAAAAAAGGAAAGGGCCTTTGGTAGAGAGCTTCATATCCAAGGAAAACTCTATTGAAATCAAAATCAGTTTCAGGCACAACACGATGTCATTTTTCCAAAACTACCCTCATGCATCTTTTGGGTTTACAATCAAACAGGACATGCTACGTGGAAGCTTAACCAGATCCAATCCATTTCTGTTGTATTAACCAATCTCAAAACATGTATCCATGTAATTTATGGTGCAAACACCATGAATCCGTCCATAGTGTGCAAAACGGTACCTTGTTTCAGAACAATTTATTTTCACCTCTGATAATACACAGGGTAGATACCTCAACAAGATTCAATAGTTTGCAGATTGCATATCAAACAAACAGTTGTGGATGCTTGAAGAAAAGCAATTTGAGAAAGCCTGAGGTAGATGAAACCATTAACCTGACAGAGCAGAGTTAAGAGCACTGTGAACATCAACGCCAATTTGGGCTTCAGCTTTCTCCAAGTCGGTTGTAGCTGAACTGAGCTTCTGGGTGAAGTCCGCAAGCCCCTTCTGGACCAAGGCAGGGTCAATGTGGTCAAGTGGTACAGCTTCCACGGCAATTACATCAGCCACAGAGTTGGCATGGATAAAAGTAAACCCACTGCTAACAAAATATTTTGTTGTATCATTCCCCTCATGCACTGATAAAATCCCAGGCTTCAGTTCTGCAATCGTAGGTACATGTCCAGGCAAAACACCCATTTGTCCAGTTGTTGCTGGAATTATTACCATGTCAACCTGATATTTTAGTATGCAAAACTTTCAGTAAGAATCTTAAGAATACAAGCCAAAAAGATTAAAAGAAGAAGTCCTCCAAGTTGGGTCCTCAATTATCTGCTCATGCAGTCATGCTTACATTTTAGTTGCTTGCATGTGTTTCTTGTTTCATGTTCATTGTAAAACTCCATAGGAACATAGAAACAAGCCCTAACCAAGGTTGAAACAAAAGAAAATTCATAAAATGACCATCTCTTCAAGAAAATAGTAGAAGGTGCAAAAAACTGATACAAATCTTCTAGTGCAAAGTTGAAGAATCATGTACACTTCCACATTCATGCAAATAGGATCATTTTCTTCTCGAGATCAATTACCCTTTTTCATCATGCTATGAGGTAAAAGAAGGTGTTCAAGATCGTTGAATCAACAGATTGTAGAGAGAGGAAGAAAAGATGAAGTGAGGGCTCAGAAAATAACTTTAGGAACAATATTTCAGATATGCAAGAATGGTCTTGCACTGGAGGATATCCTCTTTCCTCTCCAGTATTTTAAGTTTATAGAAAAATGATAGTAAGACTGAAACAAGTGATACCAATAACTTGTTAGAAAAATTCCATAATCCCTTAATCAAAACAAGACTAAGAGTGCAGCCTAAATAATTCAAGAGATCTATAAGAATTAGCATGCATCTATCAATCAAAATAACTACATCACTTCAATATCCATGACAATCAAGCGGCAAACATAAATTGTTTTACGCAAATCAAAAAGCTTAAGGATAAATCTATCATCCATTACCTCCATAAGATAACTTCACAAAATCAAATGGTCCAAACATAAACATGAAACCAAATATAAGTGCCTCATACATACTCCCATCACCTATACTAGGAACATCAAAAATTACCTACAGAATGGAAGCCAATAAATATTTACTTCAAATGCTCACAAAAAAGTTCTAAAATTATTCCCAAGTAACCCTCATTCTCAGTTAACTCATAATGAAAGTGCAAAATTATTGAAAAACTAGAGAAATGAAACAATGAAATAGCATTAGATAAACTCAAAGATTCCAAAGCAATCACCTTGCCAACAAAAACAAGCAAAAGGCAAATACCCAAAAAAATCAAAGAGAGGGGAAATGTTAAAGCATCAAGGAGCTCAGAATAAATAGACCCAAATCAGTCGGATAAAGAGCGAACCTCCTTATTGGAGAGCTCAGATGCATAAGGGAGCACGAAGTTGACGGTGATCTTGGAAGGAAGAGAAGAGGGAGTTGCGGGGCGAGGGATCATGAAGGAAGCTGGGGTCTTGGGAGGCTCCATGTTTGGGATGACCTTCTTCCATGATTCAATGAAGTTAGCGTTCTGTGCAGGTGTGGCCGGCACGTCGGTGGAAAATGCTCGAGCCCTCCTTGTGGTGGTGGTGGTGCTTCGAGCCAAGAGGCGTGAGGCTTGCCGGAACATCGTAGCCGGTGAGCAGCTTAGGCTCTTCTCGACGATTTTGGGATTGAAACCTTGAAGAAGGAAGGCTTGTGAAGCAGTGAATATTGAACAGTAATTTCCTTTTCTTTTTTTTTAACAAAATAGACCAAAACAAATAAAAGCGAGAATCGCCCAGCCCAAATTAGACCAACATATTTTGGGCTTCAAAATAGCCCAGCATTCTTTGTAAAATCGTAAAAAAGACCGGACGAGCGATAGTTTTAGTGTTGTGAAATCAACAAGGTAGCTCTCTTTTATTTAAGTGAATTTTTAGATTTTTTTCGACTTCCTTTTTCGAACATAGAAAAAATATATATATATAAGATTAGTTACGTATAATTTCTGATTTTAAAAAATAATTAAAGTTTTAATTTATATTTAAAAATTAAAATTTTATTTTATTAAATGTTGATATTTAAATTTAAAAATCTATTATATATTTTAATATATCAACATTTAATAAGATAATTTTTTAAATTTTGAAGTGATTTTTAATTAAATAAAATGATGTAGTTTAAGACTAAAATTTTAATTATTTTTAAAAATCAAGATTGATATGCACTTTTCTCAAATATAATACGTATTAATTTTAATTTTTAAAAGAAATTAAGATCTTAACCTACATTTAAAATTTGAAATCTCAATTTAAATTCAAAAATTCACTATACTTAGATTTGAAAACCAATGATATATTCTAATATAATCAATTTTTAAATTTAAATATCATTATTTAATGAAATAAATTTTTAAATTTTGAATTGAATTTTAATTAAATAAAGTGACATAATTTAATATTGAAACTCTAATTTATTTTTAAAACTTGAATTGATATACACTTTTTTCAATATATACACTTATTTTTTAGGCCAATCTAAATGAAAAAAGAAAAATAAAAATTAACATGAAATTATTTAAATATTTTTAATAAATTAATACAAAAGAATAAATTAAATATTTTACAAATAACATTTAAAATACCAAAAAAAATCAATTCTTACTTTTTTTCCTCTTTTAATTAAGATTAAACTCTAATTTTGACCTTGAGACTTTTGTTTATTTACAAATAGCATTTAAAATACCAAAAAAAAAAAAAAAACAATTCTTACCTTTTTCCTCTTTTAATTAAGATTAAACTTTAATTTTGACCTTTGACACTTTTGTATAGACCGTGATTTGGTTTATGAACTAGATAGCAATCTTCTTCATCTTTTAATTAAGATTAAATCTTTATTTTAGTCTTTATAATTTTAAATTTTAGCTTTTTTTTTTTTTCAAAATTAGAATTTATTTAGTTTAAAGACCAACTTAAGGGTCCAAACAAAAATTTAAGGAGCAAAATTAGAGTTTAGTTTAATAATTTTATAATTAAATAAATTATTATTATTATTATGAACAATAAATTTAATCTACATTATCAAATTTTGCCATATATAATTTCCACCTTATTAATTTGAAGGAGAAAGTTGCTTTTATGGTCAATTTTTCATGTAAGCTAAAATTTAATGACATCACAAAGAGTTTAAATTTAAAATTTTAAAGAGTAAAATAAAATTTTATTTACTTTAAAAATCAAATTGAGGCCAAAATAAAGGTTTTAAGTAACCTTTTATTCACTCTAAAAATTTACAAACTTTTAGAACTCAAAATCCAAGCGTGGTCAATACAATTGTTAATCCCATTAAATCTGTATATAATTTAATTAATATTTATAGTAAATTTTTAAATAAATAATTATAATGTTTAAAAAAATTTATAAATTAATTTTAATTTATTAAATATAGTATTAATT